GGCTGAGAGGACGCAAAAGGGATCACACCAGCTTTTGGTTTGATCTCTTTTGCGTCCATTCAATGAATCGGTCATCAGGCGCGTGCCTTCCAAATCCAACCTCCTAGGCGAAGGCGTCGGAGCAACTTCAGCACTTGGGGGAACCACAAGTGGAGTAGGAGAAAGCTGTCCACCCGCTGGTGAAGCCTCAGCCAATTGACGTGGCTTCTTAAACCGCTGCCAGTATTCCTCATAAGTCTTCACAGTAGAAGAATGACTTGGATTGCTGATTGGTCGGGAAGCCACGTATTGAAGTGTTTTCTGTCGCTCCAAATTCCCACTGTCAGAAGGAGGTGCCTCTAGGGAAGCAGGAACTTGAGGACTAGGGTGGCTCGCTTGACCAGCTTCAGAGATCTCTGGTGTGGGCGGAGTGTGGCGGGCTCGCCCCTTTGTTTCTGAAATCTCGAACTTCATCACCCACGCATAGTAAGACACAATGTCGTCAATCATATAGTAGCCAAAATTTCTTGGCTCCACCATGTCAACATACCTCGGGAAAAGGTGGTGTTTCCGGCAAATCTCCACTTCGGCTTTGAGAGCGTTCTCAGAAAGCGTTTCACACCAAGCCCGGACTTCGGATTCTCTTTCGATGATGAGAGAAGCAGCAGACGGGGGGAGAGGAGTTTGCACCAGTAGTGCTGGGCGAAGGGGTGGAGGAAGCACGTTCAGTAGAGAGAGCATCATAGGCTGCGTCGAGATCTGCATTGAGCGCAGCAACTTCCTCACACAAGTGTCATCTAGAAATAATTACTCCACATTTTATGTCTAAGTTTGTTCCCTTACTGTATATATTCGTGCCCCTCAAGCAAATTAGAAAACCCAGCAACCCTGTGATTTGGGCAGACCAGTCCTGCTCTTCTTTGCACGGAACAAAGCTCCCACCCTTCTCATTGCCTTTCCCCCCCGTACATGTAGGCTGCGTGAGAGCGTGCGCACGGTCTCGGAAGAGCGCCCATGACACCAACTCATCAGGCATCTCACATTCATCAAAAGACCACGCATCATCTCCACATTCACTCTGACGCATCTCAACATATTGTGGAAAGCACGTGTGCTTCTTCGCGTCCTCAATCATGTCAGCCATCTCCTTGTCTGAAAGCGTGGTGAATTTCTGAAGCAAAAGGTCATGCTTCTCATCCTCACCTGCCTTCCCATCATCTTTGCCAGCCGCCTCCTTCCCACAACCCTTTCCATTCCCAGCCATCCCAACATCTCCTGCTGTACAATCCTTGCGAGCCCCCTTCGGAACGCTTCCCTTGCTCGCAGCCCAATTCCAACCTTTTCCCTTCCAAACATCTCCCGCGCGCGGATCCTTGCCACAACCCTT